CCCCCCCCCCCGGGATCACGGGAGGCATCCCAGGGCTCTCACCGCGGAGGCCTTGTGGGTCTAGAAGCTGCAGCCTCAGAGGAGAGAGGTGGGTGGGACGTCCCCTTTGGAGGGGCTGCTGGAGCGCTTCTCCCACCTGGCTCAACACGCGTCCATCTTCTAGGACAAGTTCAACGACCACATCCAGCTGGTACGGAATGGGGCCAAGTTGAGCAGTCTCCCACAGATCCCCACCCCCCCTCTGCCCCCACCCCCGTTGGAGGTGAGCCGGGGGGGGGGGGCAGAAGGCTGGTATGGGGGCCCTGGCCGCTACCAGACGCCGGACTAACCGTCTTCCTCCTCCTCCTCAGACAGACTTTCTGCTGCCTCCTTTCCAGGCCAGCTCCTCGCTCGGCCCCCAGGTGCCCTTCCCCGTGGGGTCCGTTTCCATGCCCCCGATGGTCATGCCCAGCGCTGACCCACGGGTGCTCTCCTTCCCCCTGCTGAACCCCAGCCTCATCGCCAGGCCCAGCCAGCCTTCGCCAACTTTGCCTGCAGCCCAGGAGCGGAGCAGCCCCTGCCTCACTTCCCTGGTCAGTTCCCCCGGGGCGCCCGGACCCTCGCTGCCTCCCCCCCCAGGCCTGGGAGGAGTCAAGGCCCCGCCCGACTTCCATAGACCGCCCCCTGTGGACAAGCTGGAGAAGATCCTGGAGAAGTTGATGTCGCGCTGTCCTCAGTGTAACAAGTGAGCGTGGGAGGCAGCCCCGAGGGTCCCCCCTCTGCCCCAGCAGGCTCAGACTGATGTCCCCGGCTGGCCTCGGGCAGAGCGGATCCTCCGGCCTTCACCGCCTGGCTGGTGGGCTGCTGGTGCAAGGCCCGCTTGCTTGCGGCCACTGGCCCATGGGAGGAGGAGGAGGCCGCCGGTGGGGGACTGCTGGGCAAGAGCAGCCCCATCGCCTGAGCTGAGCCTCCTCTTCTTCTTCGCAGGGCCCAGCTGACCAATGTCCTCCAGCAGATCAAAGCCGCTCGAAGGACCTTGGCAGGACTTACCATGGAGGAGTTGAGCCAGCTTGTAGCAGCCAAAGTGGCAGAGCAGCAGGAGCGGGTGGCAGCTGTTGGCCCCCAGGTGGGCTGGCCGGCAAGCCTTGGGCGCGCTAGGCATTAGGAAGCCGAAGGCGAGCTCAGCCTATAACGGGTCTGCTTTCCTCTGCCGCAGCCCCATGGCCAGATGTGCTCCCCCTTGTTCCCCGGTCCGTTGCCTCAGATCAGCAACCCTTTGTTCTTGCCACCCGCACAGGTCCCCTATTCTGGGACGCCCCCCCAGGTGAGTCCAGCGGGGCCTTCCAAGTTTGCTCAAGCCGCCTGTCGGGGGAGACCGACTTGCCTGGACTTCACGCCCCTTCTTTGCCTCCTCTCTGCCAGGCACCTGTGGCCTGCAAACTCTGTCTGATGTGCCAGAAGCTGGTGCCGCCTGGCGACCTCCACCCCATGGCCTGTTCACACGTGCTGCACAAGGAGGTGAGGGGCCTGAGGAGACCCCTGAGCGGGTTGAATTGGCCTGACCGCCTAGAGGATCCCAGGCGCTCCGTGGCCCCCTGGGTAGAGACGGAGCCGGGAGGAGGAGGAAGGGGGCTGCTGGGGGGCCGGGGTTCTCCCTGGGGCTGAAGGGCAGCGCTTGTTTCCTCACAGTGCATCAAGTTCTGGGCTCAGACAAACACGAACGACGCCTGTCCCTTCTGCCCCGCCCTGAAATGACCCCGACTGGAGAGAGCAGGCGGAGGCGCCTTGTGCCCGGCCTTCCGACGGCTCTGTATTTATACGGCCATGTATACACCTGTACATTTTTATTCTATAGGGAATGTGTGTATAGAAAGTCCACATCCATACCCGTTCATAATAAAATGTGTATATTATGCAGCCGTTGGGCGGATCCTCCTTTTCCTCCCTCCGGGGAACCCCGTGGGTTTTGTTCTGGAGAGCGGTGGGAGAGCCAGAGCATTTTCCCTCTGGTGGCCCTGCAGCCCGAGAGAGGCTCTCGGGGGCACCCCAAGCGGCCCGGCCTTCTCTGCCGCCAACAGCTGCTGCTGGCCTCACAGGCGCTTCGGCGTTGGGTCAGGACAGACCCCTGCGGGGCTCTTCCCTGCCCGTGAAGGCCCATGGGGGGGGGGGCTGCCGAGGCTGGCTTGGGGGGCCATGGGTGCGCCTGGAGAGGAGGGAGGGGGTTTCGGGCCTAAGCTGGGACTCCAGCAATGAAGGGGAAACTCCCTCACAGGGGGGGCACCCTGGAAACGGCTCCCTGCAGTGGGCAATTCCAGCGAGTGGCAGCCTGGCCTGGAAGGCCATTTTACCCCAACTTGGCTCCACGTAAACAGCCCTCGCAGGAGTGAGAAACACGTCGTCCTGTCCCGCCTCTCCCTCCTCCAGGCAGCGTGAAACCCACAAAACCCGTCCGAACAACTTGGCCAAAGCACAAAACACACAACACAGTTAAGAGGTTTTCCAGCTTTTTCCTCCTCTTGCATTTGAGACAAAATGGGAAGATTGGGGAGCCAATATTACAAATATTTACAAAATATTGTACAAGCGCATTGACTGCAGCTCATCCCCATCTCCCACGGCCAGCCCCTGCACGAGGGTCTCCCAGGGAGCGTCCCATGGACAGCAATGGGGGTCTCTGCCCTGTCAGCCTCCCAAGGCGAAAGTTCCCAGCCTTCAGCCATTTGGTCCTCGGGCAGAGCACAGCCAGGGGGCTGGAAAGGGGGGGGGGGGGAATCCAGCAGAGGGTATTTTAATTCCTAACCCGCTTCTGTCCATTGCAAAGGAAACACCTTGGACTCCACCCTGCAGAATAACAGAAGTTGGAAGGGACCTTGGAGGTCAGCTAGCCTACCCCCCTGCTCAAGCAGAAATCCTATACCACTGTGGAAGCGCTGCCTGTGCTGCTGAGGGGTCTGGCACCGCCCTGTTCCAATCCTGCCTGACCCTCCATGGGTTGCTCAGCAGAGGCCCCAGAGCAGGGATAAGAGTCCCGGCTGCCCAGCGGCTTCCGTTTGGCAGAGAGGCAGCAGGCAACAGAGCCCGGGGGACGGCCTGTGGCCCCGTGGCAGGCCAGCTGCAGGCTGCTGAGGAAAGGCGTCTCTGACCGTCCATTCCCTGAGTAGCCTCTGATGCCCGCAATTGCCCAAGGCCACTGGGTGCCCAAGCTGGCAACAGGGCTGCCTTGGGCTCAAACCCTCTGAATCTTCCCAAACTCCTGGGCTGGGAGGGCAAAACCTCTGGGCCAGATCGCAGAAAGGGTGAGGAAGAAGGGCCAGAAGGCGGGCGCCAATTCAGCTTGCTTGGCATCCAAGGCAGGAGGCTGGCACCGGGGATCCCGCTGATGGGAGGGCACGCTCAGGGCGCTTGATTCCGCCAGTGGGAGAGTCCCACCCCCCCACCTCCCAGAAGTGGGGCCACTGGCCAGCTCATGGGGCCTCCCTAGAGGAGAGGAGGAAGGGCAACGCCATAAGCAGGGCGGCGGAAGGGCCGCCCTCCCCACCTCCTAGGCAGCTGTTACAGCCACAGATCCTTCTCCGTTCCTGGAATTCGGGTTCTACAGCCATCTAGCCTTTCGCCAACCCAGAGGGTCCTCCGCCACCTGGAGCTGATCCCTGCCCCAGCCAGCATGGGGGACGGGTGTCCTTGAAATGGGGGTCACCATAGTTCCAAGCAGGCACCCGAAGACTCTGAAAATGGGGCACAGCAACCCACCTTCGGTTTCATAACTACTGAGATTCAGAGAAACAAGCACGCCAAACACCCCCCCGCCCTTGATTAATTACAAAGAAGTACTGCTCAGAAGCCCCCGCCCCCTTTCGATCTGCTGCTTCCCTGGTGCACAAGCTGCATCAGAGCAATGGGACAAAAGGTGTTTTCTGGACAGGTGATGGGACGCCCTGCCAGTCCTGCCCGCTGCCTGCACAAGTTGCAGGACTCCTGGGACACCAGTGGAAGCAATGGCAACGGGTCTTGCGCCACAAAAGGCCCTGCCAACCTCTCTGCCCGCCACGGGCCAGAGGCCGGTGGTTGTGGTGGGCCCCAGGCGGCAGCAGAGAACCTCAGCATCAGCCGCTGCCTGCTTGGAGAAGGCAAAGGCCACAGCAGCCCTAAGGGAGGGGATGGTGGCTGCAGTGCCAATGCCCAGCCGTGTCACCAGCACGGGCCGGAGGTGGGGGGGCAGCGCTCACTTTAGCAGGGAAATGTCATCCGCGAAGTCATCATGGCCGCGGCGGAGGCAGCGGAGGCAGCGCCACTGCGAGACCATCAGGCAGAGAGGAAGCATGAAGAGGGCGCAAATGGCTGCCATGATGTAGGCGATGGTCATCAGCATCGACTCGTCCGTCTGGGGGACGTTGTAGCCACAGTCCTCCATGTTGGAGTGCAGGAAAGGCCCATCCACCGAGGCCACCCGGAACGCGTCCTGCACTGAACACAGGAGCGGGAGGGGCAGAGGCGAGGCGTGACAACGGGGACCTGGCAGAGGCCCCCTCCCCACCCATCCCCACTGGGTCAGGAATGGCAGAGGAGAGGCAGGCCAACGGGACCCCCCCCATGTCTGGAGAAGGCCAGGCAGAAGCCAGCCGGGGCTCCAAAGCCGTGGGGCTCCCAGGGGCCCGGGGAGAAGGGGCGCTCCAGACGTGTTGGTGGGAGGGGCGACAACGCACTTCAGAACCGCCCCCCCCAGGACCCCGCTTGAGCTGAACTCAAGGCCCCTTTTCATGCTGGGGGGGAGCAGAGCGTGGCCTTGCAGGTAACCCAAGGGGGCTGTGGGGCTATCCGGGTCACCAAGCTCTTCTGGGGGGAAGCAGCAGGTGCGACGGCTACACCCTCCCTGCTCTGAGACCTACCATGGCAAGTGCTGACCGCAAAGCCAATGCGCCTCTGAGCCCGGTCAAAGACCACGTAGAAGCCCTCCATGATGACGGCCCCCATAACGGTGCCGGTGGAGGACTGGGAGACAGCAAACTTGTAGCACTCATCCTGGGAGGTAGCCACGTCCTCGACTGGCCGCAGGTATTGCTGAGAGAGAAGGCAACAAGGGCGTGAGGCCAGGCCACGTCCCAAGAAAGGGTCAACAGGGCAGCAGGCTTTGGCACTCCCCGGAGGATCAGGGACGGCTGCGGGCGTCCTCAGCCTTTGAGGCGTTTCACAAGGGGGTTGAAGGGCAGTTGAGCCATTTCTTCGACAGAACTGGAAGGACCTCGGGGCTCCTGTAGCTGAACGCCCGTGTCAACTCATAAAAGTTTTCTATACACGTTTTATAGTTGCTAACAGAAAGAAGGGGGGAGTTTCAAAGAGCAGGCAGCAGCGTGGAATTGAAAGTACATTCCGTTCATATTTTTTTCAGAGACTGATTAGATGACTGAAGCTTCTGCCCGCAAAAATCTAATTGGAGAGCATCATTGATGGCTCTGGGCTATGGACGTGTTTCGTTGGATGATACACCCAGAGGGGTTGGGGGGAAAGCAGGATCAAGGGTGACAGTGAATTACGTATCTCAGAGTCGGCTATTCCCAGGCTAATGCCGGCAAGTTAACTTCTAATAAATCCTTTCAAGTTTTTGGAGTGTGGCTTGAGGCTCATGATTTAATTGGGGTAACTGCTGGAATCCTGACAGCCCGCCTGGCCAGAGGCAGAATTCCACTATTCTGCCATCCTGACGGGTGGGCATCAGGCCCATGGAAATCTCTTCCTAAAGGTGTTTCTTCCATTTTTTTTCTGACATCCAATCCAAACTTTTAACTGTCAAAGGACAGTTTCTTCTCCCGTCTTCTGAACAACTTTCCCTGCCTTCTACACAACAGAGCTTGAGCTATGTGGAGACACCCGAATTTCTCTTCCCCAGGCTAAGCGCATCCCATGCCAGGAGCCTCTCCTGTCCCCTTGGCTGCTCTCCTCTGACCTCTTCAGGGCTACGGGTGCCAAGCGCAGTCTAGCCTGTGAACCGTAATGAGGACGGCTGTTCTTGATTTTGATCCCTGCTGCATTTTCCTTTCTGGCTGGCCAGGAAAAGTTAAGCAGCATCCAAAGTCAAGCTCAGAAATTAATCTATGGATCAAATTTCCTGCTTGAAAAGATCTTATGCATTTATTAAAAAAACAAAAAACAAGGTGCTCCTGTAGGACTGGTATAGTTTTAGCCAGAGGAGGTCCATTTTGTGGGGGGAAAGCTTTTGGCCTCTTGCTCACTGCAGTTCTTAGAGGTTTTCCCTTTGGGCCTCTCGTACTACAAGGCCCCGTGGCAGCCTTATCAAACAACAAGGACTGTCCCCAACCAGGACAGCAGGGGAAACAAGGCTGACCAGTTGGAAACAGATGTCTTAGTTAGAGCATACTAGCTCCCCTTTTCTCCTTGCAAATAAATTAGCTAGAAAGTTTTACGTGCTTAATTATTCACCTTGTCAGTGAGGGACAGAAAGGGAACAGCAAATCCAGCATTTGGGTGGGCCAATCAATGGTTTGGCCAATACGGTCTTCACAATATCTCAACTGACCTTCTGTCCAGTTTCCCCTCTGCTGATATTGCCCTCCAAACAGACTCCGCCCACTACTTTTGAGGAGCTGGCACCCACCTGGGGCAGGATGCTGATCCGGAAGGAGTGGTTGGTGGTCTCACCCATCAGGTAGAGAGAGATGACCGGGAAGATGTTCCAGGGGGTTGTTCCCACCTGCCAGCAAACCAGCTGCTCCCCCAGCCAGAAGCCATCTGGGAACTTCTCGGTCTGTGGTGAGGGAGCCAGGACGGAAACAGCTCAGCCAAAGGCATCAGAGGCCGGGAAGGCGCCAGACCCCCTCCCCCTGAAGATGAAGCTATTTCAGGTTCCCCGCCAAGGGGCTCCTCGTCCCGTCCCTTTCCATCCCTTCCCCTGCTGCAGAATCTGACAGGCAGGTTCAGGCAGGGACCAAGCACAGTTGGGGTACCCTGCCTCCTGGGGGATGCGGGCTTTTCGAGCAGGAGAGGAGGGTCTCTGCCCCTCACCCCACCCACCCCGGCTTCTCTCACCGAGGAAGCTGTCTTGATGGACTTCACTGCCTCCTCAAAGACCTTCTTGGGCAGCCGAAGGTTGGTGGTGCCACTGTCCACAATGCTCTTGTCGTAATTGTACTGGGGAGGTTGGGGGGGGGGGACACAATTCAGGTGCTGGCTCCATGTTTGTGTGGGGCCCAGCCGGGGATGAGCAGGGCAGGGAAGCCGCTCGGGAGGCAGCAGGACACTCTGAGCGAGGCAAGGTGCTGCTGCTCCCTCCCACAGCCCAGACGCACTTAACCAAATCAGCATGCAGCACCTGTGCCAAGTCCCCAGGTGGCAGTCCTTCCCCCCCCCCCCCCCCCCCCCCGATCAGCAGCCCCTTCACCTCCTTGCAGTCCATCTGGAGGTCCTGCCCATTGATCTCAATCTTGACTATGACAACCTCGTAGTACCATTCCTTCCGGATGGGTGTGTACCAGATGTTGCCCCTGTAGAGAGTCTGGTCGATGCCCCCAATGATCTGTGAGGGAAGGGGAACTGTTAGGGGTGGGAGGCAGAGGGCCCACCCAGAACATGGTTGGAGACTGGCTTATGTGGGGAGCCGCTGCCTCTTGCAAGCTCCCTTCTTTGGGTACAGGCACAAGCTGGCCCACTTGGGGGAAGAAACAAGGCCTATGTCGTAGGCTCCTCTAAACGGAAACGCTCTGCACTCTAGTCTCTCAGAAGACAGTTTATTGAGATCCTTTAAAGGCCATGATGCCATAATAGGAGCCACATGCCCTCACCATGCTGCCCCCCACGGAAGCCAGGGTCTCTGAATCATTGGTCGGGAAGCTTGTGCCACACAGCTGCAGGGAGAAGATGTTGGCCACCTGCGTCTGCTTCACCAGAGAGTCGAAGAAGGGCTCCAGGCTGTTGTCCGGCTGGCGGGAGAGAGAGAGAGAGAGAGAGAGAGAGGCATGCCAACAGTGCGGTTGGGCATCCTCGCTCACCTGGTAAGAGGCGTCAGGTGAAGGCCGTGACTTCTCCAATTGCCCCTTCCCCCAGCAACATATTGGGACTGCATCTCCCAGAACTCCTAGCTGGCTACAAATGATGGGAAGCCTTCCTGTAAAACACCTGGAGGACAGAGGGGCACAGGGAGGGCTGGAGGGCTTTAACCGTCTTCCTGACCTAGATGGGGTCTTGGTTCCTCTGGGCAGCAGTGCTGCAGCCCCTTCAAGGCCTCCCCTGAGCTGGCTCAGCACACTTAAGTCCGAAGGGCAGAGCCGTGCCCTAGAGAAAGCTGGGGCTAGTTTGGAAAAGGTCAAACTCTGCATCTCAAACGCCCCACGACGGACTCTCCTCATTAAGGCCCAAACCAACCAGCCAGCATCCTGCTCAGGAAAAGACTTGCATGACATGAAGCTTGAGCGAAAGGAGCTCACCCGGGCAATTTCGGCATATGCCAAGCCCAGAATGCCTTCCCAGTTGGAGCCGTTGATAAAGAACTTGTCCGACTTGATGATGGCGGCAATGTTGGCACGGACGGTGACATTTGGGCCATGAGGGATGGCCACCAAGTCAGTGCCCAGCTCTCCCTCCCACTTCCCTTGCGTGTAGGGCACATAGACTCCCTTCTGCAGGTCCCGATAGGTGCTGGAGCTACAAGAGACATGAGCAGAAAGTCGGTGCCACGGTGCTCCGGACAGGACAGGCAAGAGGAGGAGGCCAGGCTCAGCCTTCCGTTAGTTTCCGGGAGCCAGCCTGCAGCCAGCCAGAGGCCGAAAGCCCAGCATGCAGACGCAGCAGGGGGAGGGCAGCCAGGCAGGAACACCACTGCCTCTCTTGCCCCCCCCCCCCCCCGCCCCCCCACCGGTGTCTTTCTGAAAGCAGGCTGGGGGAGCTGTGGAGCGAGGCCCCCCTCCTCTCTGAACGGCTGACCTCACCACCCTTGCCTACTCACAGCTGGCGCTGATAGTATCGCTGCAGGAACTGATGAGGGGCTGCACCCACAGCAAAGTTGCTGCTTCCAGTGTCCACCAGGATATTCAGCTGGAAGAGAGAAGAGCCCATGGGAGGAGGAGGCTGAAACTGCTTCACGCACAACGTTGGAAAATGTCTCTGCACCCCACCCACATTTGACCAGGGTGCCTTCGTTTCCAGATGTGCTGGCTACATCTAGAGTTCTGACTGCGCCCAGGAGACGGGCTCTAGAAGCAGCAAGCAGGGTCTCCAGCCCCAGAAGAGAAGAGTTAGGGCTTCCTCTGTTACCCTTTCCTGCAGCAACAGCTGTGGTGAAGGCCAAGGGCCCCCCGGGGCTGCCCTTGGGGACCCCAGCTTGGGAGGAAGGAGCATGGAGGTCGACAACAGGGCCACGGGGGGAGGAAGGGGTGACGGCCTCAACTGGACGGGCCTTTCCAGAAGGAGGCCAAGCAGCTCCGGGAGCCTCTGCCCAACTCAAGGTCACAGGCAGGCCGCCTTTCGAGCCCTGCCGCCCTGGGCAGCTGCTCGACTGGCCCACTATTTGCACACCGGCAGTTCTAGAAAGGAGCCGCGCCATCCGCACGCTGAGCAGGCGCAGGAGACGCCAGGACCGGCCTCCTTCCTACGGGCCCGACCCGTGGCGCTCCTCTCCCCGCCAAGGCCTGCTGGCGTCGGGTCTGCCGGGCCAGGCTCCCTCCGGGCTCGGAGCACCCAAAGGGCCGGGAGGCCGCTGCGCACAAGAGCGCGGCTGGCGCAGCTCGCTCGGGAGCCGGAATCGCTCTTTCCGCCTCAGCGACCCTGGCTCGCCCCGCCGCTTTGTAGGGGCCGGGATGAGGTTCGGCCAGCAGGGCCCCTCGGAGCCTGCAGCAGCCGCGCCCCGGCCAGGCCGGCAGAGGCGCCCGCCGCCCCTCACCTTCTGCGGGGGGCTGCCCACCGTCATCTCCACGTAGTAGCCCTGCCCCGACTTGCCGCGCAGGTTGTCCACCATGGCCACGAAGCTGCTGCTGCTGCTGCTGCTGCTGCGGGGGCCGGCGGTGCGGCGGCCTTGCTCCCGCTCCTCCTCGGCCGAGCGCCGCGCCCGTCCTTCCGCCGCCGGCGCCCCGGGCAGCGCGCTGTGCAGCGGCAAGCGGAGCCCGGCCGGGGTGCCTGCCAGGCCGCGCGGCCCGCCCGAGCCCAGCCACAGCCAGAGCGCCAGCAGCGCTGGAGACATGCCGGGCGCCTGTGCGGACGGCGGCGGCTCTACAGCGGCATCTCTGCCGAGGGCGCGGCGGGACAGCAGAGGCTCCGGGCCCGCGGGCGGAAAGGCGGGCGGCGGCAGCGGGGGCGGCCAAGTTTCCCTCTGCCGGAGCTCGCCGGGAACTGTCGACCTGGCCCGGGCGGCGGCGCCTTTGCGCAGGCGGCGGCGGCGGCGGGAGGAGGAGGAGCTGCGGTGCGGGCAGGCGGTGGGCACGTCTCCTCCGCTCGGCGCTGGGCGGGGCGGCGGGGGAGGCCCAACCCGGCTTCCCCGCCAGCGCCCGGCCGCGGCGCCTGCCTTGTGCTGCCCGCTCGCCCGCCCACCCTCTGCCGGAGGCACCGGAGGCTTTTGCTCTCGGGGCCCTCCGTGGAACCGGCCCGCCGGGGGATAAGCGCCGCGCCGGTGAGGAAGGCTCCGCGGCGGGCGGGCGGGGGAGGCCGCCTCCTTTGCCTTGTCCTCCCGGGAAGAGAGCCGCCTTCGGACGGCTCGGCTGCTTTCGTCGTTTGGCGCATCCCGAAAAGTGGACTAAAGCCCAGCTGAGCGTCGGCGGAGAGACTCCCGGGCCGAGAGCGGCTCCGGACGGGGCTTTGGGTTCCAGTTCAGTTTAATAAAGCCCATCGCAGGCAGCAGAGCAGCCGGGCCGCCAGAGGTGCGAAGGTAGGCGATTCCCCTTTAAGCGGGGACTGGCTCGGGGGAGACGTGCGAAATGAGGTGTACAGTCACTGGGTTCACGCGTGGGAGGAGGGTTGCATCCTTCGCCGGGTACCCGAGACCTCCTAAGGTGCAGCAGCTGGTGCGATCCGGCAGAGGGCGGGCATCCTCGAGCTCCTCTGCGGCTTCTGATGGCGGCCGCCAGCCCTGTCCTGGCGCAGATTGAGGGGCAGCCTGCCAACTTGCAACCTCCCCTGCTGCCCCATTTCTTAGAGGAGGAAGGAAAAGCGAGGGGGGCAACCTGGCCTTGGATCTCCTGAAGACGCTTTTGCAGGAGGCCCTGCTAGCCTGAGAGGGGGAAGCCCTCCCGCCAAAGGCCACTGGTCCCGCGGAGGTCAGAGTCTCTGGCACTCACCCCCAAGTGGAAGCACGAAGCCTACAGTAGGTGCTCCTCTTGCAGCCAGAAGCCCCCCCCCCCCCCCCCCCCCCACTGGGAGGGAGCTCCCTCCGCTTGCCTTGAGCCAACCAAGCTGTAAAACAGCACCAGCACCAACCCTGTTTTAAAAAGGCGTTTTGAACCCATTTGCCCAAGAAACAGCCATGTTGCTTTCATCAGAAGAGCTTCTGCACATCACTGCACTAAGAAAGCGCTGGCTGGCCAGCTACAAAGCCCAATCTAAGGTGCTCAGCATCTGCCCTGGCTGTGCTCAGCAGAATCCTTCATTTTCCACTGCAAGCTGTTTTTGAACTGGATCTCTTGGGCCGCTTGGGACCTGCTGGAGGGTTTCCTTTTGAGGGCCTGAGATCCCAACCTTGAAGGCACTTCCTTTAACAGGAACGTATTATTTTCAGTCTGCTTTCATCTTGCCTGCATAGAAACTCAGAACAGGAATCTGCCAACACTGCCTGCTTGATAAGGAACTCTGAAAGCAGATCTAACCATAGCTAGATGCACAGGATGCAGTTAGAACTGGACTTAGAGGCTCTTTTCAGCTTGGGATGAGGGGCAAGCAGGGGTCTAGGTGGTATAGATCGTGCCAAGGGCATCTGAACAGCATGAATTGTACATGTATTATTCCACATTGAACATCTTTACTTCTACATGTGCTGTAAGAAATTTGCAACCAATCATTGACTTGCCATTTTGAATTTCTTGTATCTTAAGGTATAAAAATAGAATGCCAGTCTTTCTCAGGACTCCTCCCAGCCCCTTTGCTTCTGATCAGAAATAAAGCGATAAATTTCCACTTTCCTCGACCCTGTGTTGTTTATTGGCCTTGTGCCGGATAAGCAGATTACAAATTGGTTCTTGGCCATCACTTTTATTGCACGGATGTCTCGACTTTTTCCTCCCATAAGACGGCTCAGACTGCCCCCTTCCTTCTCTGGGTGACAGCAAACATTTCCTAAGCAAGAGGAAGGGCATTGAAGTTTGACATGTTAAGGGCAGCTGGTTAAAGCCAACTTGTCCAGCTGCCCTGGGGTCAGTCCAAGGATCCTGCTGGTCAAGCTCTGAGGTGGATGTGGCAGGTGAGGAGGCCCCCTGCCTCCCCACTCTGTTCCTAAACCAAAGCAGCAAGTTCCACAGAAGTCAGAATGCAGAGCTAACTCTTTATCTTCACTTGCCCCTCTTAGAAATGAAAAAAATGGGACGCCCGGATCCAAAGGGTTTCAAAAGTAAATCTACAAGTAATCCGATCAAGATTAGACAAACGTGGCAAAGGAACCACATGGGCAAATACAGAGTTATCTGCAACACTCGGACAGGCATGAGTCAAGTCACAGGGTTGCAGCCAGCAGGAGGCCAGGAGAGAAATGCAGCACAGCTGGTCTTCACAGCAAAGTTGTACCAATGACTTCAGCCTCAAAGACTCTTCGGCTTTCCCTCCCCCGAACCAAACGGACAGCAGGGACAGTCATGGAAACTGCCCTCCAGTACCAGGGTTCCCAGGACACCCCGGGGGGGGGGGGGAAGGGTCAGCAGGAGCAATGTGCCTGCTGAGTCCACCTCCCTGACCCCACCCCTGCAGGAAGCTCTGAGGCCCTGGCACTCCCGCCTGAAGACCAAGGCCAGCCGGGGCCTTGCCTGCCAGGGAGGGGGGCACTCTCCATATGTGGGGAAAGCTGCAGGCCTCCCTTTCCAGGCACCAGCCTGTCGCCCTGAGGGACCGGCTGACCCAAGCAGTCAGAAGAGAAATCCAGTGGAGGGTTGGGGGCCTAGACAGGGTTCAACCTGCAACAAGGAAAGGGCAGCCACCCCCTCCTCAAATTGCCTTTGACCACCTCCACCCCCATTTCCAACGAGAAGCGTGGGGTTTCAGCAAAGCCTCTCCCAAATTTGTCCAGAAACCTGACTTTTAGGTAACGAAACAGTGATTTCCTTGTTGCCCCACCCCCAGTCTGTTTCCAGGGACCTGCTGGGAGGGGCCAGCCCAGCCTCAGCAAGTGTCCTCCCCCGATTCATGCGCACTGCCAGTCGGGGTCAGGAGCGGCATCCAGATGGACGCCAGGACACGGGGCAGTCCAGCCTCTCTCTCTTGGGGAGCCCCCAGGGCTGTGTCCAGCAGGCAGCACCTCCTTTCTCCCCCCCCCTCCTGTGCCTGGCAACAGACAGGGAACTCAGCAAGGGGCCTCCATTCTGTGCCTCCACCAAGTCTGCACCAAGGAAGAGATCCAGCAAGCAGCAGCAGCAGCAGCAGCAGGCGACTTCTGCTTGGAAGCTCTCTGGCTCACTCCTGGCAGCAGCCAAGGAAGGACCTTCGGGAGCCTCCTCATGTCCCATGAACCCTCAGATGCCAAGGAACCCCGCTACTGGCCCTTGCTGTTCAACAGAGCCTGGCAGGCAGAGTGGTGAGGGTTGGATAAGCCACCATAAAATCCTTCTCCGTAACACACACACAACACACACACACGGATTTCAGATTCAGGCTGGAGGCAGGCCATGGGGGCTGCCCCCTCCCCACCCAGGCTAAAAGAAGGACGCTCAGCAGATACTCGGAGGGGTACATTACACTCCTCATGCCACCAAGCGTCCATTTCCTATGGCTATTGGCAAGACCTGCCCGCCTGCCCGCCAGCCTTCACTCCCTTTGCACAGGAGGACAGGGGGGTTGGGGCCACGGTGCATAGACAGCAGACAACCACTGGTGACGGTCGGGGGCTTTGGGAGACGGCCGACACAGCAGCTCCTCAGGGCTTCTCCACCGACGGGGGGGTGTTCCCGTTGGATTTGCTCTTTGCCCGGCCCTTGAAGGAGAAGCGCTTGATGAGGCGCCGAGAGAAGCTTCCGGATTTCTTCCTGGGGGCAGAGGCGCTGCCGGAATTGGGCAAGTCATCATGCGACTGGCTCAGGCCAGCCTCCTTCTGCTTGTTCTTCCTCCGGAAAATCAGCTTGGTACCACTTTGCAGGAAGCCCACTGCAGCCGCAGGAGGAGGAGGAGGAGGAGGAGGAAGAGGAGGAGGAGACCATGAACCTGTGCAGGAGCGCCAAGCCCCCGTGGTGCTGGTTGGAGAATGACTCAGAGACAGACCGCCTCCCAAACCCTGGCTGCTCGTGCGGAAGAGGGCCAGGAGGCCCCTGCTCAGAAGACAGCTGCCCCCCCCCCCACCTTTGTGATCCTTCAGGCTCCGGGTCTCCAGGGCGCCTGTTGAGCCGGTTTCGGATTCCACGTCCTCCACAGAGGGTCTCTCGGAGATGTCTGAATGGGTCGTTTCATCCAGATCCTGGCTCACCATCTGAGGGGAGCATGAACTTCCCAGCTGCTGCGTGGTGTCGCAGGTGCTGGGTGGCGCATATTCTGACAGGCCAGCCAGGAGGGAGTCTTCCTGCAGGGGACTCTGCAGGGACACGGCATAGCCAAGGGAGAGGGCCGTTTCGTCCTGGGCGATGGGCACCTGCACAGAGTGGGACAGAGGGAAGCTGAAAGTCGGGGGGCGGGGGGGTCCCCTCATGTCTGGTTCCGACTCCCCCCGCCCAGTTCCTTCTCAACAACAGGGCTTCCCAGGGGCTCTGGAGTTGGGCAGCACGGAAGCCCGATCCAGTGAATAAGTGGAAATAAAGAAAGCCGTGTCCATTGCCAGCCAGATGCATTGCCAGTTACCTTGGAAACTCCCGAGATGATCAGCGTGCTGCGCTTGGTTGGAGTCTTCTTGGCAGGCTTATTGGTCAGGTCCGTCAGCTGCCTGATGGCTGTCTCGGCCACCGGATCCAGGCCGTTGGACACACAGCTGCTTCCTGGGGGAGAAGAGACACACTGCTCCCACATGCCAATGGCACAGAGTGGCTCTGGCCAAGCCCTGGCTTTGTACAAGTGCCAGTGGCTGAGAGGCACCGCTTCTCATTGGAGCTTGTTCATTCATTCATTCATTCAATCAATCAATCCATCAGAACAGAGCTGGAAGAGGCCTTGGGGGTCTTCTAGTCCAACCCCTTGTTCAGGGAGGTATTGAATGTGACAGTGCCCGATTCTTCCTCCAGGCCAGCCAGAAAGGCAGCCGAGACCGAGAACATGCTGGCTGGCGCAGGTTAACTCAGCAAAGTGCACACAGGTTTGAACAGCATGCTGAGCCGTTCTTCCCATCCAATACTCGGAGCATTTCACCAAGGTAATCTGGTGCCTCCCAGTTATTTCGAACTCTTTCCCATGCTCCACAGCTCTTTTGCCCAATTGGGCAATCCCAAATAACTGGAAGGGACCCAACTGCTCTCCTCTTTGGAACTGGCTCCCCTCTCCATGCCTGGCCTCAGCCCAGGTCAGAGAGAAGGAAGAGAGTGAAAAATCACAGGCGCACCTGCTTCTTCAAAAAGGCCCGCCTTGTGCCGAAGGGGCAGCATCCCACCAGCACCGTCCATCTCACCATCTCCCCCATTGTTGTTTCCTGACAACGTGACTCACTGCTACTGCAGGGAGATGCTCTGCTGGGGCAGCCATTTTCTGGAAGCATCGTGGTGACCTTCTCTGTAACTTCCACTTTGGATGGAGATCTGGAGGGTGAATCTGGAGTGCAGGAGAAAGAAGGGTCAGCAGAGACCTCCCTTCAGCAGCACCTACGGAAACGCAACGCCCCTGTTTGGCACTAGGACGAGGCCCAGCTACATCCTTCACAGAGAGGAGGAGGGGGCAGCTGCTGCTTCAAGAACAACCTGGGCCCTGGGGCAGGGCTCCTCCCACTCGAAGGCTGCTCTCTCCTCATCACTCAGGCTGAACTGGTGGCGTCAGATCCCTGTGAACAGGAGGCCACTTGGGGTGCGCTCCAGCCACATAAACCAGCCGGCTGACGGCTTGCAATTAGGAGAGCTTACCCAGCTTAGAGTCCAGTTTGGGCCTGGACTGGATGGTGGTGACAGTGGTGACAATAGTCCCATCGGGCATTATGGTCCGGCCCATCTCGATCTTCTTGGTGGGAGTGATGCTGGGGCGCAGGGAGGAGGCAGCCTGGAGCTCCGGCATGTCCTGGTGGAGCAGCTGCCAAGACAGCCAAATACGAGTCAGAAAAGCACAGACGATACCTGAGAAGCCCACCTTCTGTCTTCACACACACAAAGACCCACCAAGCCTCAGCCACCCCAGACTGTCTGCTCTGGAGCTCACCGGCCAAATCCCACTGCCCACTGTCAGCAGTCAGCAGTCAGCAGGCCGGAAGATGGAGACCTTTGAGATACGATGGGGAACATCATTCTCCCCTGTGCCCAGAAAGGGGGCTTCTAGGGGGCTTATGGCTTGAAAAAGGCGGCATGGGGTTTCTATAAGCTGTGCAGACGCATCCAAACATTTCCCCACCTCTCTTGTTTGGACTCCTCCCATCCCTGCGCTCGGGGCTTAAAGCTGAGAAGCCAGGGGTTGAGTGGAGCAGACGCAAAACGCCAAGTGAGGCAGGCAACCATGAAGCAGAGTTGAGCCTCTGGCCATTCTGGCCTCTCACCTCCACGGCAATGGCTGCTGCTGGGGGCAGAGCCCGGGCGGCCCCTGGACTCAGCAGGTAGAGCTGCTGCCCCTGCGGTTCTTTGGAGGAGGGGTCTATGGGGACAGCCACAAATCCCAGAAGCACGTCTGCAAGGAGAAACCCAGCGTGTGAGGCCCACAGAACCGCAGCGGCCCTTCCTCTCTCAAATGCCAGCTGGAGCCTCCCAAGGGAGACACTTCCAGCCCCGTTTCTGCTCTTCCAGCCAAGCCCAGCCCCGGCTCCGTGACCTCCCTCCTGCAGCTGCCCACAGGCGACCTACCCTCTCCGGAAGGGCTGCCTTCCAACACTCTCAGCACCAGCTCCTTGCTCCGGGGACCCAGCTCCCTGTCAGGGCAGGACGGAAGGAAGCAGTCAGCCAATTCCCTTCCTGGACCAGGGCCCAGCGGCTCCAGGGCAGAGCTCTCCAAAGGAAGGGACAGGCCCGGAGCGCAGGCTGCCTGCAGGGGCGTGAGTGGGGAGCAGGGCCTTCCCCACAGGGCAGGCAAGGATCGGCCTGGCGTCCCTGCCGCCAGCCGGGACTGGTCCTCCCCCTTTCCCCAGGCCCTCCTTTCCCCACGTGGCCCAAACACAGAGCCTCAGGGCTCCTTACAGAAGCAGCTTGCCGGGCCACTCCACCCCAGCGCCCGGGCTGGCCGGCACGGGGGCCGTTCTCTTCTGCTGCCGAGGGCTGTCCAGCTCCACCTCACAGCACAGCAGCCCCTTTCCTGCAAGGGAAGCCAACAGCGGGGCAGTCAAAGCTCGCCTCCCCCATTTCCCCACAGACCCCCTGCACGGCAGGAGAAGAGAGGCCAGCCACGCCCAGGTACCTTGGCTCTCCCGGGGCCCCAGGTGCAGAGCTCGCAGGTGCTGGAGCAGCAGTTTGGGCATCAGGAGAGGCGCTGAGCTGGAGAGGGATCCCAGGGGCAGCCGGCTGCTGCTGGTCTCCTGTGGGGCAGAGCCAGGGGGCACTAAGTAGCTGGCTGGGGGGAACCTCCCCCCACACAGCCTCTGAGGTGGCCTGTGGGAAGTGCCAGAACTGCTGCCGTCCTTCGGCGACTCAGCTGGCCAGTCTAGGTGAAGCCTTTGCCCAGAAGAGCAAAGCGGAATTCTAACCAAGAAACAGGATCCTTTCCAGAGGCTGCCCCGGGTTCAAAGGAAGCAGGCGGTGCAGGTAAAGGGGGCGAGCAGCGGGAAGGAATGGGGCCCTCTTAAGCCTCCCCTCTCCACCCTCCACCCGTACCGTGTTGGCATTCCTAATGCCGGCCTTCAGGTTCACCATCATGGCAGGCTGGGTGCTGATAATGGAGTCTTCAATCAGATGCTTGATAATAGACAGGTCTGCCTTCCCATCGTTTTCCTGCAAGGGGCAGCAGGCAAATTAGGCCAGGCCAGCCGTTGCTGCGGCGAGTTCCAGAGGAGCTCAGGGAACCGTCTTCCTCTGAATTTCGCGCTGAACTACATGGACCGGCCACATCCCCTGGCATCCTAGGCAGGCAAAGGGCCACACATTCCCCCAGGCAGCCCCACAACAGGCTGGTGGGCAAAGGCAGCGGCTGGCAAAAGCCCCCCCCCGGGCCTCCTTGGCAGAAGCAAAGCAGAGCTCCAGGACGGGGGGGGGGGCGCTTTCATCCCCCTCTTCGGCCCCTCCCTTTGCTTACACAGTGTGGCTGGAGCCTCGGCGGGATGGAGAGCTTCAGGTCAGGCCTGTCTTTGAATGCCCAGGAGACCAGCAGCCCCTCGCCCTCCACCTCCTCCAGGCGGATCTCCAACTGGCCAAAGGACAAAGCTGAGGTCAGTGCAAATGGCCAGGCGGAATTATATACAAACACCCACAATAAATCCCACCAAGGGCTGCCCAGGTCACCGATGCAAGGGTGCAAAGGCCAACCTGGCATCCAACGCCAGGGCCCAAAGCCACCCACCCCTTCCTGCCCCAGGCAAAGCCTGGGAGGGTTTTCAGCCCCCTCCTGCCTCCTTCACCTGGGCCTGCTGCACAGCCAGAGAGACGCAATAGGTGTCCATAGACACGGCTGCCGGGGACTGCTGGGCAACCAAGACCGGGAACTGCAGCGTGTCAGTTGAAAGGAGACAGTGCAACACCTGGGGAGAGGAGGAAAGGGAGGGCGGGCAGTCAACGAGCATCTTCCCAGAGTAGCAGCAGCAGCAGCAGCAGCAGCAACCCCACAGCACACACTACCTCAGCCCCCTCCTCCCCCTCCTCCCCCTCCTCCGTCTATAGTCAGAGCAGCAACAGTAGAACTCAGTAACTGCCATCCCATCAGCTTTAAGCTTTTGGAAAGAACTACTGAAGGTAACTCACTGATGGGGGTCTGGAAAAATGGCTTTAATCAAGTATTCCTGCCCCATTTCCCTCCTGCAGTCTCCCCGCAAAGCTCCTGCAGCTGAGAAGTCCCTAAGCCTAGTGAATAACAGTTCTTGGGGGGGGGGGGGGGGCTTTCAGCAAGAAAACAGGAGGAGGAGCTGTCACACACACACACACACACACACACACCCGCAATCTTAGCGGAAAACAAGTTAATCCGCTCAACTCCCGCTCTTAATCCAGATCCCTCTTCCAGAGCTGCTCTTCATATTCGATGCAGCTACATCCACACTCACTGCTGTCCCATCGCAGTCTCTGTCTAACTGGGAGTTTCAAGCCTTGGCTGAGCATCATCACCCCCATTCAGGGGGCCCTCAAGGGAGTCCCCCAGGGGTTACGGTGCTCCCTTCCTTCCAGCAATACTTCCAGAGCAAAGCACTTATCCGATCAGCTGACGTCCCAGGACTGTGGCCTCCTTATTTTCAGAGCTTCCTGGCAACTTAAGCCTTCGTCTCCAAGCCGACATCTGGTGCCTGCAAAGAGCAGCCCCTCCCCCTCCTGCCCCTTCTGCAGCCCCCCCCCTTCCTCCTGATCTGGGCTCCTCCTGCAGGGGCCACGGGATTGTAGGTAGCCTGCTGTGATCTAAGAGGTCAGCTGTCCCATGCCGGAGGGCAGTTGCCAAGGTCAGCCTCCCCAGCTGCTTGTCAATGCTTTGGCAAACCCTGGAACAAATAGCTCTTCCCCCCCCCACCCCCCACCCCCCACCGTTGCTGCTGACCTTGTGGCCACAGCCAACTCCTCCAGGGACAGCAGCCGTTCCCATCCCTCTGCATTTAGACAGCTCCCTCAGCCTTTCTGGGGACTTCTGCAGCTTCAGAGAGGAGCCCAGCCCGTGGCCCTTGCCCACAACCAGAAGGGGGGCTCCTCACCCACCCTGCATCCTCACCCACCCTGCATTTAAACAGTTGCTGGCATACTGAGGCATCTCAGGCCACAAAACCCTCGGGCTCTCAGCCGGAGTCTGTGTGTGGAAACTGGGGGGGGGGGAGGATTGCCCAGAAGCCCCCTTCCCTGGAGTCCAAGCATCCCCCCTCAGCACGCTGCAGGATGCTGGAAAGCTTCCCTGAGCAGGGAGGGAGTCTGAACGGCGGGTGGTGAGAGATGTAAAAACCGGAGGACTCACCATCCTGTGATCCGACTGGTCAGTGCAGGTCACGTGGTTGATGGTTACGGCTGGCAACTGCCGAGGACTTTCCTCAAACGTGATCTGGACTGAGCTCTGGGAAGAAGAAAGGCTGGTTAGCCCGCAGGAGGGAGCCCACGTGACAAGGTCATGTTTGTAGTCCGGGCTCTTCTGCAAGGCCAGACAATGTGCCCCTTGCTAAGGGCATCCAGCAGGAGTCCAGATGCGCCCCCCTTCTTGGGCATGGACCGACTTCAAGCCATAGTCCAAGCTAGAGCATCCAGGCAGGGTGCTGGCAATGTGCAAGGCTTTTCCCAGCTGAATGTCGGCCCCTGCTGAAGCCCTGCACATCGCTTGGGCTTTGGCCAGAACACCAAGAAGGAGAGATCCTAAAGCAATCCTGCTGGATCTGCCTGTTCAGAAGGAAGTGAACTTGCTCTGCCCTCTGGAGATATCCAAAATAAATGTGAGACACCTCCAGTGCTCGGGAACATCTGGAAATCCCCACCCCCGTTCCCCCTGAGCATTATTCCTAGGGATCAGCTCGCTCCAGGGCAGCCGCCCGCCCTCCAGCTCGTGGGTTGGATGCAGCACCAGGTGAAGCAAGGGCCAAGTTGCCATGGAGCTGGTGCCGGCATGCCACCTCTCAGAGAAGGATGGCAGCTTGGGCTGCAGGAAGGGCTGGCCTCCCCTCTTCCTTGGCCTTTGGGTCTTTGGGGTCCTCCCTGAGTGGGGGAGGGGAGGCTGGTGGCCTCCTAGTCCTGATACAGTCACAGCCCCAAAGCAAGAGATCCATTTTCTCTGCAAGAGGAGCAGCCAGGTGCTTAAGATGCAGAACAAGGCAGCCCCCTGCCAGGTCTGCAATACAGCAAACGCACCAACTATTTCTGGGCTGAATGTATACCGAGGAACTAGAAACCTAATCAAAGAACAAGTGAACACGATGCCTGTTACTATGCAAATGGCGCAGGGAAATTAGCTACGCAAACGGAACAGCTCAATTGGAGCAGCCTGCCAGTCCCAAGGGGGCCAGACTGTGCTGCACTTGAAAAGCCTTCTGGTGGTTTCTCTCCTTCCCAAGCGGAGCCAATCCAGCCCCTGTGGACGGCAGCCCCTCCTTGCTCCTGCCCTGCTTCAGGGCTGGTCTTGCTGAGGGAAGGCCAAGAAAGGGGGCAGCACAAAAGCCCTGGCATGAAAAAACATGAACCCTGGCCAGCACTGAGGCCTTGCCCCCAAACCCTGCTGAGATGGACCTCTGTTCCTGCATGCCGGGCGCTGTTTCTCTTCAGGGATGTTTCTGCGTAGCCTCTGGCTACTGTCCACCCGGTCTTTGCTTCTGTGACTTTCTGTGAGGAAAACCAGATCCTCCAGCTGGCCAGAAGGACACTCGGGATAGCAAGCTTAATTGGGAGCTGCTGTGGTGCTGACCCACCTTTGGTTTTGTAAGAATAGTGGAAGAAACCGGCTAGGGGGAGGGAAGTGGGGCGGTAGGAGAGAGCGGAGGGGGAGGAAAGGAAGCCCAGCAGTGGGAGGGGAAGCAAATGGAGCTCTCCCCTTCCTCTAAGCACCTGTAGAGGAGGGAGAGGCAAGCCTGGCCTTCTGCAGGGCCCCTGGCATCTCCCTGTCTGGCGGCCCATTCCAGGCTGCCCCAAGAGCCCCAAAGCTGGCCTGATCCCAAACCCGGGGAGGGCCGGCCTCACTGAGCAAAGGCAGTTAAGGCAACGGCACCTTTCCCAAATCTTCATGCAAATGCCCGGAGCGGGCTCCAGCGGCCTTTGGTGCCTCTCCGGGAGGAAACGCCTCCTTCGGAACTTGACCCGGAGGGCAACAAGGGCGACCGAGAGCTCGGCCAGGAAGGGAGCAGCACTGCGGGCAGAGGCTCTCCGGCCCCTTTCCTGCCCGGATCCCCATTTGAAGGGGCCGAGAAACGCTCGCGGCCCGGCAAGGGGCTCCCTCCTAAGCAGGCGCGCTCTCTCCAGCAGGCCGGCCAGCCTCTCCGAGGATTAGCCCGAAGAAGCAGAAGCCGGCCAAGAGGGCTCCATCGGCCCCTCATCGCTCCGCGGGGCGAGCCGGGCTTCGGGCCAGCGGCTGCTGTGGGAAGAGCCGCCCGCTCCCTCCGCTTCTCGCCCCCCCTCCGTCCCCCGCCGGTGGGCCGGTCGGCCTTGGTGGGACAGGGCCGGAGCGCAGCCCCTCCCGGCCGGCTTACCCCTTGCTGGCGGGCCTGGTCGTTGAGGGCGCGCAGCCAGGCTCGCTGCCAGTTCTCGCGGAAGGCGCGGAAGGCGAAGAGCGAGGCGAGCAAGCCGCGGGCCCCGGCCGCCGGACAGCTCCCGGCGCCCCCGCGGCCCGAGCCCAGGCGCAGCACGGCCGCCCAGAGGCCGGCGGGGGCGGGGGCGGGGGCCGCCTGGCTCCGCGGGGCTTCTGCCGCCCGTCCGCCGCCGCCGCCGCGCCAGAGGCTCCGGCCGAGTTGCAGCAGCCAGGCCGAGCCGGTGCGCAGGGAGACGGCGAAGAGCAGCACCAGCGCCGCCCAGCCCCAGCCCGGCCCCGCCGCCGCCGCCGCCGCCGCCGCTCCTTCCATGGCGCGCCCGCCGCTTACGGGCCGACCAGGGGATGCATGGCGAGGCGGGCGAAGCGAGCGGGGGCAGCGCGGCTCGCCTCCTCCTTCCCGGAGCCGGCGCGGAGCTACAGGGCAGCCGGGCTCTTCCGCCTCCCGTGACGGCCCAGCCGGGCGGGGCGCCGCGGCGCTGAGAGGGGCGGGCGGAGGGCTGGGCAGGGCTAAGGCCGCCGCTGCCCGCCCCGTGGCCGGCTCCGCCTTCAAGGCGCCGGACGGGACGCGGCTCGGCTGGCAGCTGCCGCCGCGAGAGGGACGCCGAAGGGCCCCGACCGATCGGCCACGTAAGCGCGGCGGCCCTCAAGGCGGGGAGGGCGGCGGGGGTCCGGGGGCGAAATCCCCGCCCGCCGCTCCGTTCCCCGAAAGGCTGCGCCGGGGAGGCTGCCTTCCAGCCGGGCAGGGGTGGTCGGGGGTCGCCCCGCTGGAGCCCAGCCCGGGCAGCGCGCCAGAGGGCGGCGGGGCGGAGGCGGCTCCGGGCCCGCTCCCTCGGGGCTCGGCGTCCTGGGCTCGGGCGCGACTGCCGGCCAGCTGCGCCTCGCTGCGCCAAACGTCGCCCGGAGGCGTCTGCCAGGCTGCGGCCCCTTTAACTGACGCCCCCACCACCCCCCGCGACCCAGCCAGCCGGGTGACGTGGGGCCACGTGACGGGCGGACCGCCATTTGCAGCCAGGGCAAGGGGAAGCCCCGCGGGGCGTCCGGGCGGAAGGCCGCGCTGACTGCCTGGGCCCTTGGCTCCCCGCAGGGCGATGGGGAAGCTGCCGGTGGTGCCGCTGCTGATCAACCTGGGCGGCTCGGCGCTGGGCTGCTGGGCCACGCTGCGCCTGATCCCCGCCTTCCGCGAGCACTTCCTGGCGGCGCGGCTGTGCGGGACCGACCTGAACAAGCCCTCCCGGCAGCCTGTGTGAGTGCGGGGCGGGGGGGGGGGGGCGGGGGGGGGGGGGGGGGGGGGCGGGGGGGCGGGGCTGACCGGCCGCGCTCTCGCCCGCAGCCCCGAGTCGCAGGGCGTGATCAGCGGCGCCGTCTTCCTGGTGCTGCTCTTCTGCTTCATCCCGGTGCCCTTCCTGAGCTGCTTCGCCGGGGAGCGCTGCCAGGCCTTCCCGCACCACGAGGTCAGCCGGGCGGGCGCCGGGGAGGGTCTGCGGGCGGGGAGCCCTGGGGCGGCGGCGGCGCTGCTGACCCGCCCGCCTGCCTTGCAGCTGGTGGCGCTGGTGGGCGCCCTGCTGGCCATCTGCTGCATGATCTTCCTGGGCTTCGCCGACGACGTGCTCAACCTGCGCTGGCGGCACAAGCTGCTGCTGCCCACCGCCGCCTCCCTGCCGCTGCTGATGGTCTACTTCACCAACTTCGGGAACACCACCATCGTGGTGCCCAAGCCCTTCCGGGCGCTGCTGGGCACCTACCTCGACCTGGGTGAGGCGGGGCTGCCGGGGTGCCGGTTGGCGGAGGGTCACTTGGGGGGCTCTGCTCAGCGCCTCTGCTTCCCCCGCAGGGATCCTCTACTACGTGTACATGGGCATGCTGGCCGTCTTCTGCACCAATGCAATCAACATCCTGGCCGGAATTAACGGTCTGGAAGCCGGGCAGTCCCTGGTGATCGCGGCCTCCATCATCACCTTCAATATTGCGGAGCTGACAGGTGGGTGTGCAGGTTCTCCCCGGCTCACTGCAAGGGCCGGTTGGGCCCGCCAGTCGCCTAACCTGGCCGCTCCTCGTTTTCCTTCTTGCAGGGGATTGCAAGGATGACCACGTCTTCTCCCTCTACTTCATGATTCCCTTTTTCTTTACCACGCTGGGGCTGCTGTACCACAATTGGTAAGACACACACACACACACACACACACCTTTTTTTTTAAGGCCAAGGCTGGCCTGTTCTCACAGCAGGATCTGCACTCCTTTCAGGACAAATTGTGGGCGTCTGGAGGGGCCACACAGCTCCCCTCTCTTTCCTGAGAAGGAAGAGATGGTCACCTCAGCAGCAGCCTGGAAACAAAGACCCCTTTTAAGCGCTTTATTACGCCCAATGCTTCCTTCCGCCTTCGGTGGCTGCCACCTCTGCTTTCTCTCCTGCAGGTACCCGTCCCGTGTGTTTGTGGGAGACACCTTCTGCTACTTTGCTGGCATGACCTTTGCGGTGGTGGGCATCCTCGGGCACTTCAGCAAGACGATGCTTCTCTTCTTCATCCCGCAAGTGGCTAACTTCCTCTACTCGCTGCCTCAGCTTTTCCACATCATCCCATGCCCCCGCCATCGGTTGCCCAGGTGAGAAGGAGGAGCCTGCCTGCTGCTTGGCTGCACCCTGAGTTAAAGCCAAAAAAGGGTGTTTCCTTTCAAAGCACCCGTCCGAGGAAGGCTGTGGTCCCAAGGCAAAGATCGGAGCTGTAAATCCCATTGGCTAAGATCTATATTTTCCCTGGCTTCCCTTTCTCCTTTCCCCTGTCCTATCCTTCACATTTCTGAAGTGCACCTCTCCTCAGAGGGATTTGTCAAACCAAACTTCACAAAGGATCTTCCGGCTCTTACTCAGAACTATTCCTTTTCTTGGGGCAGAGAAATTCCCGCCTTGATCAGGTCCCCTCTGCGGTTCCTACTATAGTCAAACTTCTGCTCATCCTGGCCTTGGCTACATCCCCATTTCCCTTCTGACTGCCTCCATCTCTGCCTTCAGATTCAATGCAGACACAGGGAAGCTGGAGATGAGCTACTCGAGATTCAAGTCAAAGAACCTCTCTCCTTCGGGAGCATATACCCTCAAGGTAACTGTTAACCAAAATGGGCAGCAATCTTCTGAGAGTGTCTTGGCTCTGCCTCGGGCTGATGAAGTTTATCTGATAAGTAATCTGTATTTCTCCCCAGGTAGCTGAGAAACTCTGCCTGGTGGATGTGCGCCAGGGAACGGACAAAGATGGAGAATTTACAGAATGCAATAACATGACCCTGATTAACTTTGTGCTGAAGCTGATAGGACCAACCCCTGAACAAAAGTTGACGGTTCTGCTGCTGCTAATCCAGGTAAGGAGCACAAGGGGTGGGTGGGGGGGAGGCAGCTTCAGTGATGCTCCCTTGGAGGTAACAGTTATGCCCTCTTCAACAAAACCTACTTAGGGGAAGATTAAGCAGTTTTAGTTTCCATAGCACACATGCTGTTGCCTGTCTGCCTTGGTATGTTATGTGAAACTGCAAAGCAGGATGCATAGCCAGGGGTCCTTTGCAACCCAGCAGTTATGGTGAGGTGAGCACAGCCTCGGTACGATGAGTCATGAGCAAACAGCCAGGCTGCATGTTTGCACTATCATCCCTCCTCTCCTTTCTGTCTTGAGGTTGCTGGTAGCTTGGTAGCTTTTGGTATCCGGTACCAGCTTGTGCGGCTGTTTTATGACGTCTGAGCTGACATGTGGCCATTTGCTGCTCCTCTGTACCTGTTGTCCATTCCACCTGAGAAAAGCCTGAATGCTGCCCCGCCCAGGGCACTTCTAAGCTCCTGCCAGAAGTTGGGATGCTGCTGCTGCTGCTGCCGGAAAGATCATACCAACCAAAGGGTCCAACTGTCGGCCTCTCCTGACGCAGCTGGGAAGCAACATTTGGGCCTCTTGCATCCTTGGGAGGGACTCTAACGGAGTCAACACCTGTAGCAACAGGTGAAGCAGGGGACACTCAGCTTTATAAATGGTTCCTTGCCCTTTACTCCAGGGGAGGACTTGATTTTAGTTTCTTCACTTTGGGCTGAAAAGAACTTCTTGTGTTTGAGATATTGCTCCAAAGCCTGTTTAGAACTGCTGTACTACCACTTACCCCACAAACTTTGCTGGGTATAAATTTGTACGGTGTTTTTCTACACCCCATTTTGTTCCCAAAGTATTTATGTGCTGAACTGCTGTAGAGGAGTGGAGTGGAGACCAAGAAATTTGAAGACAGGGTACAGGCAGAAGGTGAGCTGGAGAGAAGCTGAGAGGGAGCAGGGAGAAAGCAGAACTGCTCAATTCCTTCTTTGTCTTTGTTTTTATGCAAAAAGAGGAAATGACCTACCAAAAGTTGCACTGAGGGAGATAGAATAAGTGTACAAGTCAAAATAAGAAAGGAATTGTAAGAGAATAGCTATCGAGCCTGGGGAAGTACAAACCACCTGGGCCATATGGTTTGCATCCCAGAGTTCTGAAAGAGCTGGCAAATGTAATTTTGGAGCCACAGAATGTAATATTTCAAATATCTTGTAGCTCAGGGAAACTACCAGAGGACTGGAAAAGGGATGATGGGAATTCCAATCTATAAAAAGGGGGAAATGAATCCAGGAAATTATTGGAAAATCAGTTTGATGTCAATACATGGGAAAACCTTGGAAAAGATAATCAAGCAGAGGATTTGTGAACACTAGAAACAAACAAGGTGATTACTAGAAGCCAGCATAGGTTTCTTAAAAACAGATCATGCCAGACAAACCTTGTTGCCTTTTCTGATAGTGACTAAATTAGTGGACTAACAAAAGGCCGTAGACATAGTATACTTGGACTTCAGTTCGGCATTTGATAAAGTGGGCTACAACCAACTTCCTGGTAAGATAGAACAATTTTGGATAGACAGTACCACCACCAGATGGATTCTCAGTTGGCTGACGAACCACACGTAGCATGTTGTCCTCAATGGAGCTACTACTAAATCTACCTGGAGGGAAGCATACAGTGGGATACCACAAGGTTCTGTCTTCAACATCTTAATAAGTGTAGTAAATGGGGGGATAGAAGAACTCGGCAGGTAACACCAAGCTGGTATTGCTAACACCTGAGAAGGTATACTGAGCCCTATCTAACAAGGTGTACTTTCGTGGTGAGCAGTTAAGGTCCTGCACAAAGGCAGGAAAAACCATAGATACAGAATAGTTGATACCTGGCTCAACAGGTCTAGGTGAGAGATCTAAGCATCCACCACCACAAGCACGAGCCAGCGATGTGCTGCAGCTGCCAAAAAGGCCAATGCAGTTGTGGGCTGCTTCAACAGAGGGACAGCATCAAGATTACAAGAAGTGATTTTGTACAGCTTTGTGCCGCACCAATAAGACCATAGTAGGAACAGTGCATCCAGTTCTGGCCATCGTGACACAGAAAAGATGCAGGGGCCTTAGGGTGCGGAGAAGAGCAAGGCAGAAGATGCCATAAAAGGGTCCGGAGACTAAATTGTATGAACAGTTGAGGGAGCTGCGCATGTCTAACAGGACAGGAGGATTGGGGGGTGGGGGGGATGACGACGACAATAACTGTCTTCCACAACTTGAGGGGCCATCACAGATGAGGGGATTGGTTTATTCTCCAAAGCACCAGATGCCAAGACAAGGAGTAATGGGTGAGAGCTTGTTAAAGAGAGATCCATCCTAGAACTCAGACATTTTCTGACAGTGAGAACAATCCGTGGATTAGCTTGCCCCCCACAGTTGTGGGTGCTCAGTCCCTGGAGGTTTTCAAAAATAGACTGGGCAACCATTGGGCAGGGGTGGGATGAGGTTTCCTGCCTTGAACAGAGGGTTGGACGAGATAGAAGGCCTCTGAGGGCCCTTCCGAGCCTAGGATATTTTGTTCTATCGCTCCCGCTGGAGGCGTCTTTCTTCCGGAAGGACTCTTTCGAGGAGGCTCTTCACCAACCTTTGAAACGCGCGCGCTGCTTGCTCAGTGGCCCCGGCGCTAGCCAATGAGCAGAACCGCGGGCCACGGAGTCCAATCAGCGGCCGCGGAGGGCGGGCCGGTGTGAGAAGCGCGGGCCATATAAAGGCGGCGCGCCGGACGCGGCGGTTCCTCGCTTCCTTGGGTGCTGGTGATGTCGGGTCGCGGCAAGGCGGGAGCCGGCAAGGCGCGGGCCAAGGCGAAATCGCGATCGTCGCGCGCCGGACTGCAATTCCCGGTGGGCCGCGTGCACCGGCTGCTGCGCCGGGGACACTATGCGGAGCGGGTCGGAGCCGGCGCTCCCGTTTACCTGGCGGCGGTGCTGGAGTACCTGACGGCCGAGATCTTGGAGCTGGCGGGCAACGCGGCGCGCGACAACCGCAAGACGCGCATCGTCCCGCGGCACGTCCAGCTGGCGGTGCGCAACGACGAGGAGCTCAGCCGCCTCTTGGGCCGCGTCACCATCGCGCAGGGCGGCGTCCTGCCCAACATCCCCGCCGCGCTCCTGCCCCGGAAGGCCGCTGCTCAGGGCGGCGGCACGGCGGGACGGAAGAAGGGGACCCAGCAGGCCTCGCAGGAGTACTAGGCGCGCAGGAGGAGGTGGCGGCGGCGCAACCGGAGACCGAGCCGAGGCTGCGGAGATGGACGAGCCGGAGGAGCGGCCCCCCTGCGGCCGCCACGTGCTTGGACTTGGGCTGGGCGGCGGGAAGGGGCTGCTGGCGCCCAATAAAAGGACGTTTCTTCTTAAGACAGAAGAAATATGATTAAATAGAAGGAAAGGGAGTAATAAAGAAAAGTTTTGAAAAGATATGAAGTTGGTAAGATAAATATATATATAGAAGTGTGATATTTTGGAATCATCTTCTTTTCAAATACGATGGCTTATTTGTTTCTTCTAGAAAAGATACTTTATGTGACTACATCCTGTGTTTTGCTTGTGTGTGTTAAAAAAATTAAAGTTTGGTTTTTTTAAAAAAAAAAGACGTTGAAAGCGCGCGCTTGTCCGGTCGTCTGTGCTGCTCTCCGCGCGGCCAAGCTGGGGGAGGGGACTGGAGGGGAGCTCTGAGGCCCGGGCGCAGTGCCCCGCGGGGGTGGCGGCGTCACCCCACCCTCCCTCCCCCTCGAAAGCGGGCCTTTTAGCGCTGCTCTGGCGTGCAAGAATCGGGGGGAGGCTCGGCGGAAGAAGCGCCAGACTCGGGCCTGTCACGTGGTCTATCTCTTTAATCGGTTTTAGCGAGACTTGTTGCGAGTCCCAGCAGAGTCCCAACTTTACCGCCTCTGCCTGAGCAGCCCAGGGGTCTCTTGGCGGCTGTGCAGATATGGGCAGTTCCGGCCCAGACCCTGCATGTGGTTTCCCACCAACGGGAGTTCCTTGCTCCCCGGCAGTGCAGTGGCAGGTCATCCCTTGCTCCTCCCCTCTTGCAGGAGGGATGGACAACTGGCCGGCGTCATAGCTCTCCCAGGAGGTGGTGCCCATCATGCACTGCTGAGCTGCCTCGCCACACTGAGGATCTGTTTGGCCCCTTTGCTCAGCAGCAGATCAGCCACCTCCTGCCCCAACCTCTCGGCTGCCTCCTGAGCAAGGCGAGGGATGCTCCTTGCTGTGATGCCAACATGTTGGAGGTTGTCATCTGGACCGTCTTCATTCTGAAAAGGAAGGGCAACCCATGGGCAAGGTTTTGGGGTAGAGGCCACAGCTCACCTGAAGGCCAGGGCCATGACGTGCTGGGACTCCAGTTGAACTGACAGCTACCAATAGGGAAGCACCCCCAGAACATGCCCCAATTTGCACCCTGCAGTAAAGTGCTGATATCCTAGATGACCAGCCTGAACCCCCTCCTCGTAAAGGAGAGTTCCATCTCTTCCCCTGAAAGCAACCGAGACTGTTACCTCTAGGGAAAAATTCACATTTCTTTGCATGGTCTCTTGCAAGCTGTCAGAACCATCAAGGCTATAAACTGCTCCAGTCAAGTACAGCTGGAGAGGGGAAAAGAGGGATGATGCTGAAACTCAACTGCAAGCAGAATGGAGGGAAATGCTGCCGTTTGTGGGTGGCCCTCCCCCCTCCATTTTATTCCTTTAAGAAAGGTGATCTCTCTCAACCGTCCCCGTCCCCCCCCGCCTCTGCACTCTGTTGGGGTCTGCCTTTCAGCAGAAGCCAGGAAGCGGGGGGGGGGGGGGGGGGGGGAAGCAGCCAGTTGCCTTTACCTGGCCATCCTTCAGCAGGGTGCTCACGGCCACCGGCACGCTGCAGCCTCCTTCCTGCGGAGGAAAGCATGGGCTTGAAGGCCGGGCTGTTGGGCCTCGCTTCCAAGGGCCTGACCAGCTCAGCCTGGGAGACCTACCAGGTGCTTCATGAAGGCTCGCTCAGTGATGCAGCGCAGAACGGTCTCCTCATCGTGCAAAACAGAGACCATCTCTAGGATCTCCTGGTCTTTGGCCCGCACCTCCACAGCCAAGGCGCCCTGGAGGGGAGAGGGCAGTAAAGGAGGGGGGGGGGCTTTTCCTTTCCTGTGATTCAGGGCCCCCCCAATAGTGCCTTCTCCTCCTTCCTTAGGACCTGCATCACAGTCCTTTTCTTGGGGTTTTTTCATCCCTAACCAAAAATGTCCCTTTGGCAGGGGCACAGTCATGTCAGCTGGGGGGTGGGGGGGGGCGGGAAGGGCAGAAAGGCCCAGAACACTAGACATCCAAGGTCTAGGGCTTCTCCAGAGGCTGGGGTAGAGAGATCTGGGGCTCCACTGCCAAAAGGAAACCTGGGAGGTGCAAATGGCCAGGCAGGAGGTGGCCCCATCACTCACCTGCCCAACCGCATACAAGCAGTCCACGGGGCTCAGAATCTAGAGGGAAGTGAGAGTCAGCAACAGGCCCCATATCTTAAAATAGAACACTAAACACCCCTGTTGGGCCTCGGAGGGAGGGAGAACTCCAGGCCCACCCAGCCCCTCTGAGGAGCCAAACTCAGCCTTTGCCAAAGGCCAACCCCCTGCCCCTCACCTGGCCAATGCGGCTCCCCCAGCCCATGCGCCTGAGCCCAGCTGCCGCCAGAACCAGGGCGCTGAAATCCTCCTTGTCATCCAGCTTCTTCAGGCGGGTGTTCAGGTTGCCCCTCTGGGGGAAGGCTAAGCAAAACCAGGAGGGCACTGCAATCCCGGATTTGGGTGGGGGTAGCTGATCCTTCTAAGCCTCTGAGGGAGGGAGAACTCCAGGCCCACCCAGCCCCTCTGAGGAGAAACACGGTGCCTTGAAGAAGGACCGGCCTGGCCAAGAGGAGTCAGAACCAGCAGTTATCTCAATCATTTCAGGATAAGGGGGGTGATTCAGACTGACTTTTGCTATGAGTTGGACCAGTGTATCTCTGATGCTGTTACGGTTTTTCTGAGAAAGGCCAGAGCAAGGAGCTAAGCAAAGCCGCTCTTGTTCCAGCAGCTGTTTCCCATTGTGGGCAGGCAGTTTTCGACTTCTGCCTAATTGCAAGCCATCCAGAGGTGCTTTGCCAAGTTTGGGTGGTCAGAGAAACCAATTGAATAAAGGTGAACTTGGGCCCTCCTGAATCATGAAAGGATACAATATCCTTGAACTGCAGCCTAGGGAATTTCCTTTTCAGCTGAGCTGCACGGCGAAGTGAACTGGTCCCAATTACACTGCAGGAAAACCCAAACTGAAATGAGCGAGGCTACTCAACCCTCCTGCATTCCACCAAGGTCTCCCAGGGCCTCCCCCCTCCTCCTCTTGCAAGCTACAACCATTGAAAAAGAGACTGGACGGCCGCCTGCCTCGAATGCGTCTCTTGCTTGAGCAGCAGTTGGCTCAGGCGGCTGCCCAGGTCCTGTTCTTCTATCTTCTGCTTCCCAAGAAGCAGGACGGACACCCCCCCGCCCACCCGCATAGCCTGCTAGAGCATGGATTCCAGGTGGGACTCGGGGGGGGGGGGGGGGCAAGGCCAAGGCCCTGCTCCAGCCAGCTCTCCTCACCTCTTCTCAGGGAGGCTACTGAGGGTTTTGCCAGCATGTTTGGGGTGAAAGACGACTGCATCGTGGGGGTTTTCTCTCCTGAAAAGGATGCAGGAAGACATCTGACTGCTTCAGAAACACCCCAAGGAACCATTAGCAAAGGGAGAGAAGATCCCACAGGCCAAGCAAAGAAAGACGCCCCAGGCCCTCTCGGCCCCCTTTGCTCCCACAACACTCCCCAGGCACCTCTGCTTTGACTGAGTTGACAAGCAAAAGGGAGGCGGGCAGGTGGGCAAGGCAGCCGCTTGGCTCTGCCAGGCAGGAAAAAGAGAAGCGCTCAAACTCACTTGCAGATGGCACCAATTGTGAAGCCTGGTGGCAGGGAAGTGGGCAGGTCTTTCAGGGAGTGAACCACCAAGTCCACCCTAAAAGAAAGGAGGAAACAGGCCAGGCCAGCCATGGGCAATCCGCATCATGCCAGGGTGAGTGCTGGCGTCTCCCCTGGCAAGCGGAATAGCCAGCAAGTACGGTGCAGCCCTTTTCCAGGGGACTCACATGAACCTGGGCTGCTACTGCTCCCATGGGGAGTCGGGCTTTGGGCCCGTCTCAAGAGGACTACCAGTCTTCCACAAACCTTCAGAAAAAGAGCACTTACTCGTCTCTTTCCAGTGCATTTTCCAGCTCTTTGGTGAAAAGGCTTTTCTCTCCAATCTGTTGGGCAAGAGAAACAGGAGGGGAACCCTTCCAGTCTTGCAAGGCACTCTGCCTCCAACCCACAGGGCTCTGTTGCCACATAGCCCAGCCAGACAGCCCTGGCTGTGTCTCGAGCCAGAGGAAAACATCACATAGGCAGAGGAACAAACCTTGGATAAGGCTGTGTCCAGAATCCTGTCTCCAGTGGTTGACATGGCAACTATTAGAGAAGGAGAAAAATTGGAGGGTAAATATGCCCTCGTCCTCCCATCTTGCTCCTAATATACCTGCTTGGGCTGCCTCCACCCCTTCCCCAGATGCTCACCTATCTCGAAGTGGAGGTGAGGGTGCTGCACCTGGAGCATCTCCACTACACTGTCAGTCTGGATACGAGCCAGCTGCAATGTTGAGAAAGGAAGGCACTCAGAACGGGCCCCAGCAGAACAAAAAGACAACAGTTGCCTGCCTCCCGACACGAAGGAGACGCAATCACAGAGCTCAAGCTTTCTGCTGTGTAGGTAAGGGCCCAGGCAAGAGCACAATCCTGCCCCTCTATTCTACCTGCGGAAATGGCTTCTGGGGGGGCCTGTGTGCACAAACCTTGTTTTCTGACCTCAAGCACCACTATGGAAAAACAGTGCTGGGACATCCTGACCTGAACTCCATCAGGCATTAAACTCCCCCCTGAACAGATGAGCCTGGAGGGGGAAGACGCTGGCTGTGCTGGTGGGCAAGAGGGAAGGGCAGTGCCTGGGCCTTGGTGGGGGAGCTGTTCCCCCTTTCTCCACCCACCCAGCCCTTCCTCGATCTGCTAGGCTCCTCCCCATTCTAGTCAGAAACTGGCATGTGGAGATTAGCTCTAGGTTACAAGGGCAAGGCATTATCAGTCTTTCCCAATCCTGGATCTTCGGGTGGATCTGTCAACGCCTCTGCCTGGGCTGGATTTCTGTGGCTAGAGAAGCTGCTTTCGTGTTACTGTCACATTGCACAAGTTTCCTAAGCCTTCCTTGTTTTCCACCCCAGCTCTGAGCCAAAAAGGGTTGTGCTTCTTCCCACGCTAAAGAAAAGAGAGCAAGACTTGCTCAAGTTACTCAGGATGGTCCAACTGCCAAAACCTTAGTTAACCTTGCCT